AATATAGGAAAGTCTCTGGAATTAGCCTTGGGTTTTTTGTCTTGTTTTGTTTTTTTTAAGATTTTTATTTATTTTTATTTGACAGAGACAGTAAGAGAGGGAATACAAGCAGGGATAGTGGGAGAAGGAGAAGCAGGCTTCCCACCGCACAGGGAGCCCGATGTGGGGCTTGATGTGGGGCTCGATCCCAGGACCCTGGGATCATGACCTGAGCAGAAGACAGACGCTTAACGACTCAGCCACCCAGGCGCCCCAGCCTTGGTTTTTATAAAGAACATCTTTTGTCTGGGATTTGCTTCCAAATAATTGCAGGGGAGGGAGAAGTGCAGGACATAAGTTAATAATTGAAGCTGGATGAAGAGTGCACAACATTCATTTTCCTCGCTTTTATGTATGTTTGAAATGTTACACAGTAGAGAGGTTTTTAGAGACATCTTTTCCCCAGGAATTTTGAAAGGATAAAATCTATTTCCCTATGAAATTTTCAGCATTCCCTCCCCCACCGAGTACTATTTCCCTATGAAATTTTCAACATCCCCCCACCCCCAGTACTCAACAGTGTTGAACACAATAAAAATTCTGTCTTAGGTTTGTATTATTGAGGGGAAAATATTTTCTTGTCAGTAAATTCTGAATTTAGCATGTTGTTTTTTTATCTGTTAATGTCCAGATTATATTGTATTTATTCAGCAGTATGAAAATTTATTGCATTGATTGCATTCTAATGAAATTTGTATTCGGTTTTGTTTCTGTTCAAGGGCATATTCAAGCAGACCTTAATTAGTATTGAGAAGTCTGAAAAATAATGAAAAAATGTTATTTAAACAGTTTCTTCATATACAGTATGCCTGATACATCTCTGGGTAGTATTTTAGTTAAGGAGCCTATTTTCTCATTCTGTGTCCTAATGTAACTTTGCTGCTAAAATGCTGACTTAATCCTCAGTCTCTTCTATATTGTCTAGTCGGTCACTCATATTAAAATGTCTATGCCAGTTGACATGCTCTAATTTTGATCTAAAGCAAAGATTGGCAAATTTTTTATTGTAAAGGGCTGTATAATTAATATTTCAGGATTTGAGGGCCACATTTGCTCTCTGTTACATGTTTGTTGTTGTTGTTGTTCTTTACTCTTTAAAAATGTAAGAATAGTTCTTAGCTCTTTTGTAAGAGCCTTATAAAAATAGGCTGAAGGCTGTAGCTTGCTAACTCCAGCTAAACAATTGCTTTTTAATTAGATGCTTTGAGAAATAAAAGGATCCAAATGTTAAAGATTATTATTATTTTTTAAGATTTTATTTATTTTTTTGACAGAGAGACACAGTGAGAGAGGGAACACAAGCAGGGGGAATGGGAGAGGGAAAAGCAGACCCCCCACTGAGCAGGGAGCCCGATGTGGGGCTCGATCCCAGGACTCTGGGATCATGACCTCAGCCAAAGGCAGACACTTAACGACTGGGCCACCCAGGCGCCCTGTTAAAGGTTATTTTTAAAGGTAAAATTATGACTCTGATACAGAATGAACACGTGTCACAGATTTTTTTACCTCACTAATTAATCAATTCTTAGGAACATGTAGGGTGTTAAAATTGGTCCAAATGAGAATTGGACTTAAGGAAATCAGGAAATGATATATTCTCTACCAGACAGAATTCATTTGCATTGCATCACCAACACTGTCCACAGGGTAATTTCCATTTCTACAGAGTTGCAGAATAACCTAGCCGAGTCAAAGCTGAAGACTTTTTTTACAATCACATAAAACCCCAAAGGATCCAGTAGACAACAGTGGGCATTCCCTTGAAAGGACACTCGAAATCTTTTATCATTTTAGTCTTTCACAATTTTTGCTGACGGTTTCTCATCCCTCTTATGATCTCTCATAATTTTCAAAGACTATTCTTGATCACAAAATGGTCTCATTACCTGTGACCTATTTACTTAGGTACAGTAAGAGTGCTAAAATCATACAGACATCCTTGAATTTTCTTTGCAAATCCAGAGTTGTTAATTTTGAGCCACAAAATTATGTATAGACATTTTCAAAAAGAATCTTAGATTGGACTTTTAAACACCTTTTTTATTTAGTATTCCAAGCTTAGGAAACCATGCCTATGAAACTTTCTCACTAGATTTCACCTGCTTTGCTGATAAATTTAGGTGAATTAATATCAAATATCCCAACATTTGCTCTAAGTCTTGCAGTGTGGAAGTAAGTGACCTTCCTCACCACCTGTATGTCAGGGGACCCTGTAACCAAGTATCAGGTCAGTTTTCCTAGGGGGGCTTTTTTGGAAGCATTGGAGCCATATATGAAGTCAACTGTTGTTCCTTAATGTGGTTTTTCATATCTGATTAAATGAAATCATTCTCAGATATAACATTACAGGAACATACAGTTACAAAATCCAATTATAGCCTGATAAAAAGGACATGGGAATGTTATCGGGCCTATGCAAAATAAAAAGTTAAGGAAAACTAAGTAAGTTCCTGAATGCTGAGGATTCAGTGAAAATCATATACCACTTAATATTTTATTTCAGATCACAAAAACAGATTCTATTAAAATGTGGTTTGGAGGGCGCCTGGGTGGCTCAGTTGGTTGGGCGACTGCCTTCGGCTCAGGTCATGATCCTGGAGTCCCGGGATCGAGTCCCGCATCAGGCTCCCTGCTCGGCGAGGAGTCTGCTTCTCCCTCTGACCCTCCTCCCTCTCATGCTCTCTGTCTCTCATTCTCTCTCTCTCAAATAAATAAATAAATAAAATCTTTAAAAAAAAAATAAAAATAAATGTGGTTTGGAAGTAGTTTAAGGAAAAAGTGAAAGGACTTCCTCATATAGCCACGAAAAATAGAACATAAAGGTAACATCAACAATATTCTACACAAATAATTACAATAAAAAATTTCCCTTTGTCATTTCATTCAGTGCTGTGTAGTTCTTGTTCAGATAGAACTTGGGTCAACAATCTATTTTCATGAAACATCTGCTTCTGGACTAAAAAGCATCCTAGACATCCTGATCCAGTGTAGGGGTATAGTCTGAAAGTGGTCTTAAGTGATACCAGCTCAGAAGCATGTTCCTAAGAGTCTTGTTCTTTGGAATAGCAGTAGTTTATAGAATACCTTGTACAGTCCTTTCCAGGAGACTCTAAAAGGTATAAAAGTTTTTTTCCTAAGATTTTATTTATTTATTTGAGAGCGAGAGAGAAAGCACAAGCGGGGGGAGGGACAGAGGGAGAAGCAGATTCCCCACTGAGCAGGGAGCCTGATGTGGAACTCAATCCCAGGACTCTGGGATCATGACCTGAGCCAAAGGCAGATGCTTAACTGACTGAGCCACTGAGGCACCCAGTATAAAAGTTATTCTAAAAGTTTTATTTTTCTGTATTTTGGATCCAGTTTTGGGAAAGAAAAATCAAGAGTCAGCAAGGAGATTTGAATCCTTGATTAAGACAGGATCATGGTGAGAAATGATAACTTGGTTATTTGGTCAAAATGACAATAAAACATTATAATAAACAATAAGGGGACACAGTTGTAAAGAATCTTAGCTCTTTCATCAGTAAAGAACTTTTTTTTCTTTTTGGTTTGTTTTGTTTTTTATTCATTAAGAACATAATAAATCAAACATAAAGCTATAAAGTTATGCTATCAAGTATAATTACACAAAAGATAAAAAATAATCTCCATGTTGTAAGATGAAGGCACTAATCTGTAAGCCAAGGAAGCAAGCTCATCAAAACTGATCACATTTTGCCAAAATTTGAACATATTTCATGGTCTCTTTTCGGATCCCAGTAGTACAAACCAAGGCAAATCAAATTCACTTTCTAAGATTTGTCCTTTTTTCAAATTCTGGAACAGACTACCACTTTACTTTGGATCAAAAATGTTTTTTCCTTGAAAAACAAAAGAACTAGTATTTCTCTATCACTATTGGTCCTAGTATAGTTCCAACCACCTAAAGCAATTATAACTTGTATTTCAGGGAGAAAACTGGGTGGAGGGAGTGAATAATAACTGTCTGTCGAACACAAGCATGTTAGGGGCACCTAGGTGGTTCAGTCGGTTGAACGTACGACCCTTGATTTCAGCTCAGGTCATGATCTCTCAGGGTTGTGGGATCGAGCCCTCCATGCTGATGAGCGTCTAACTCTTGATTTCCTCTCAGGTCATGTCTCAGTTCTGGGATTGGGCTCTGTGCTCAGCGTGGAGTCTACTTATCCCTCTCCCTCTGCTTCTCACCTACCAGCTCCCGCTCATGCGCATGCGCTCGTACACTCTCCCCCAAGTAAATAAATAAATAAAATCTTAAAAAAAAAAAAAAATCCCAGTGGTAGGAAATGAGGATAGAAGAGCCTTATGGCAGTGTTTGGTTTGGTTTTCTCTGAGTGGTGATATTACAAATAATTTTTGCTTTCTTTTATGCCCACTGGTGTGTTTTTCTGTAATGAACATGATTGTCTTAAAAGAAGATATATTAAAAATGGTAATAAAGAGAATTAAGCAAACATTCACTGGTGTTGATGCTAGCTCTGTAGGATTGGTTTTTCTGTTGTTTTTGGAGAAACAAATATTTACTCTGTTGAAACCTTGCAACCTCATTTTTAATCAAAGACAGGATTTATATTAGTCATTAAATTCTTTATTAATTTGTTCTGGAGAGTCAAGGTCAGAATTCTGTGTCTCTAGAGATAGAAATTTCTGGAGCCGTGGTTTCAACCCAGAATTTTCTTCAAATTCATTTAAGGTGGTTCGGATTTCATTCAGAGGGCTTCATCTGATTTGAATGAAAGAAGCTACATGAAGCTGGTGAATGCTTCTTTGACCTCTTAATACTGTGCTGGTCTGAGCTTCCAGCCCCATACTTAAGTAAAAGTACAGAAATTATCAGATTTAGGCACTGAACTCTATCAAATTGTCTTCTTGTCTGATTCTTCCTTTCTGTGTATTAACCTCAGAGAAATGTTTCCACATATTATACATTGTACATACTACACTATATTTTACAATCCCTGAAATTCTTCCTGTGCACATTACATAGAACTGCTTTTACAAATGAAGGAATAAAGCTCAAATTTGATAGTTTGTCTAAATCCCAAAGTGACTTTTTCGGTGCAGGAACAATCTCTTTAAGATACTCAATTCTTTCATGCAATATCATCGGTATTTAATAAATAGTATATGATGCAGGAGCTGAGCCTGGGTTTAAGATTATGGTGTTTTAATCTATTGTGTAGACTTCAGACAACTCCAGTGCTTTTCCTTCAGAAGTGTTTTTTCCCCTTCATCCATAATGATTAAGACTTTAGCATCTCATGCTCAGTTTTTTCTTGCTCAGTTTTCATTTAAATTATTTTGTGAACCTAAAATGAAAAATAAGAGAAGAAACATTAGGAAAACGTAGAAATTGTTCCAGCAATGTTTTAGTCCTTTATCTAAACATGGGTAGGGGGCGCCTGGGTGGCTCAGTTGTTAAGCGTCTGTCTGCCTTCAGCTCAGGTCATGATCCCAGGGTCCTGGGATCGAGCCCCGCATCGGGCTCCCTGCTCAGCGGGAAGCCTGCTTCTCCCTCTCGCGCTCTTCCTGCTTGTGTTTGCTCTCTCACTGTCTCTCTCTCTCTCTCTGTGTCAAATAAATAAATAAAATATTTTTTAAAAAATGGGTAGATTGTTTTTTCTTTGTATTTATTGAACCAGGCTACCTAAACATTTATTCAGAATGTTTTTAAACTTTTTTTTTTTTTAATTTATTCATTTGAGACACAGAGATACAGAGAGAGAGAGAGAGAACATGAGCAGGGAGAGAGGCAGAGGGAGAGGTAGAAGCAGGCTGCCCGCTGAGCCAGGAGCCCGATGCGGGGCTTGATTCCAGGACCCCGGGATCATGACCTAAGCCGAAGGCAGACGCTTAACCATCTGAGCCACCCAGGCGCCCCTGTTTTTAACCTTCTTTAAGCTATTCTGTAACCCTTATCTGGTTTAAACTAAAAGACAGATGTGAATGGTGAATTAATGTCCTGTACCTTTAAATTCACCCAGTTTGATGCTTTTGTTTTTTGTAAAAGATGCTCACAGCTCCAGAAGAGAGGCAGATACTGTCTGTGATCTCCATTCTCAGAGTAAAACTATTCATTTGCATTAGCAGCTCTTGCAAACCACACACACACACACACACACACACACACACACACACACGATGCTTGTTTGGCAGAAGCTTTCTGTTTATTCAGCACAGAATCCTCCCAGGCTCCCAGATGTAGAAAGCTCTAAGAGTTGATGTACGAGACAGAACCGGAACTGTACATAGGCTGAAGTGGGCACTGCGGAGGATTGGCTATGCTGGGATGTTGATGTGGTGCGGCTGTACCTGCCTGTTCTGTGAAAGGCACTTCTCTGAGGCTGTGAAGGTGAGAAGCCCAGGGATCCACTAGAAGCTTCATTTCGGCTGGCTCTTTGGTGGGGGAATGCATTCCCAGTGGTAGCTGTCCTCATTTACAGCGTTATTCTCGGAAACCAAGTATGTGCAGCCGTGACAGACTATGCAGTTTGGAAGCTGGGACAAATGGAAAGAGCACATAATCAAGAGAGGTTGTGATTTGTTTTCACTATCCAAGCTTGCTCTGGCAGTATACAAATGAAGGATGAGCTTTGTGGCAAGCAGAATCAGCAGACTGCCTGACAGGGGGTTTTGGTAAGATAAATGTATTGCTTGTGTTTTTTGGGGCAGGGGGATTCTTGGATTTTTTTAACTGTTATTTTTACTTTTCTCTATCAGCTATATAGAATTGCCTTTTAACAATAACTAAAACATTTTGCAGAATCACATTTGATGGAGAGGGATGACCCAAGGAAAAAAGGAAAACATTATTTTTGATCAGTTGTGACCTTCAGAGATAATAACCAAGTTCTCTCAGATGTCCATGAACAGGCAGAAACCAGGAATTTCCAGAGCAAAGAATGCTGACTAACAGATATCCTTTCTTTTCTTTGAACAGTTATAATCCCCCCACTCCCCCGTGCTTTTTCCCCCAGCTTTCCCTATGGCCTAAGGTGGAAAAGAATGAAATAAAAGCTCCCCTGCTCTTATTGAGTTGTTGCCACTGGAACAGTAATAGGCTGAGAACATAAGTATGGAGGTGGAGGAAGGCAAGATGAAGAGTCTGCTATTTTCGTAGCCATGCGTTGGTGGGTGTTTGTCTTGGGTTCATTATCATTGCTGTTCAATATCAAGTGGTTGTTAGTGCTGTATCTCTTTGCCTGTCCTTGATTTAATCCCTTTATGTTCTATATTGTGTGTTTTTCTTTGCCAGACCCAATTCTGTTATTTTGAAAACTTTTTCTGTTACCATTAATACACATTAGCCTTTATTAGAGAAAAGATAGTTGTAGAAAGTAACCCTGAAATGTTTATGGACCTCAAGAAAATAAAGACATTTTCTCTTTAAAATCAAGGTTTTCAGCAGATTTGGGGGTTCTTGATTTTGGAATCTGTAACAAGCATTTTATGACAAGTTAAAGAAATGGGTTGCATTAGATCTGTGAAATCCTACCGGGATCACTTTGCTCTAATCTACTTTAAGTTGGATCCTGTATCTTAGGTTTTTCCAAGCCTGAAGGTTTACTTTTCCTCATCCTAACTTCCAGCAAGTATTGCTGGAAGATATGTTGATTGTTTTTGTAGTCTAACCTGAGATCTTGTTCTTGGGCCCCTCTTCTCAACCAGTAGAGAGCCAAGTTTCCTAGCTGCTTAGAGTGGGCACAGAAGAGACCCATTGACATCTGACTTTTTGCTGACTCATTGGTTATATAAGCCTTGTAAATACAGTTATCCATATACTCTACTAGGTTACTGGGCAGGTGGGCCCCTTCCTGTGTACTGATCTTTTCTTATCTCAGCATCCTTCTCCTTCCTTTAGCCTTTTTGGTAATATAGTCTCAATTATTTACCAGGTGAATTCTAAGAAGTGAATGGACAAATCCTTTTTCTTTTTTTTCTTTTTTGGAATTGCTTTAACTCTGTATTTTCATCTCAATTTTGATGAAATGCCAAATTCTATACTTTCTTGGCACATGAAACTCACAGTAATAATACTTTTCCTCATTCATAGCCTGGTTAGAGTAACTTCCTTTTCTATCTTTGAGACCTCAGTTCAAATGCCCTTGTTCAAAGAATTCTTCTGACCTTCCAATCTAAAGTAGCTTTTCCCCCCTTACCTTACTCCTTTTCTCTTTTTTCCTTTGTAGTACTTCTCACAATTTATGTTATTTGATTACTGGTTCTTCCATCTCTACCAGTTTTCTCCACTCAGCCATTAAGCCTCATGAAAGCAGAGATACCTTGTTTTGTTCATCAGTATATACCAAACACCTAGCAAAGTGTCTGGCTGAAAGTTGAAGAAGGGGTAAGTAGGCAGTATTATATGTACAAAGGCCCCGTTGTGAGAAGAAAGGATGAGCAGCAGGGGTTGAAAAAGGCGAGTTTAGGGGCGCCTGGGTGGCTCAGTTGGTTAAGCTACTGCCTTCGGCTCAGGTCATGATCCTGGAGTCCCTGGATCGAGTCCCGCATCAGGGAGCCTGCTTCTCCCTCTGACCCTCCCCCCTCTAATGTGCTTGCTCTCTCTCATTCTCTCTCTCTCAAATAAATTAAAAAAAAAAAAAGAAAGAAAGAAAAAGGCGAGTTTGACTAGACTATGGGAAGCATGCTGTAAGATGAAGCTAGAGAAGTAGATCCAGGGCCTAATCACATAGGACTGACTTGATAGACCATATTCAGATACTTGTTCTTTATTGTAATTGTGGAAAGCTACTAAAAGAATTTAAGCATTGGGTGGTTTAGGACTTCTTTTTTCCGGTATGCCTGGGTGTCTCAGTTGGTTAAGCATCTGCCTTTGACTCAGGTCATGATCCCAGGGTCCTGGGATCGGGCCCCACGTCGGTCTCTCTGCTAATGCCGGAGCCTGCTTCTCCCTCTCCCTGCCACTCCCCCTGCTTGTACTCTCTCTGTCAAATAAATGGATAAAATCTTAAAAAAAAAAAAAAAAGGACTTCTTTTTTTCTTTTTTTTCTTTTTTTTTAAGTAAACTCTATGCCAGCATGGGGCTTAAACTCACTACCCTAAAATCAAGAGTCACATGCTCTCTGACTGAGCCAGACAGGCGCCCCAGGACTTCTTAAAAAAAAAAAATTCTGGGCGCCTGGGTGGCTCAGATGGTTAAGCGTCTGCCTTCGGCTCAGGTCATGATCCCAGGGTCCTGGGATCGAGTCCCGCATCGGGCTCCCTGCTCACCGGGGAGCCTGCTTCTCCCTCTGCCTCTCTCTGTGTGTCTCTCATGAATAAATAAATAAAATCTTAAAAAAAAAAAAAAAAAAAAAAAATTCTCCAGCTTAACTGAAAGCCTAATTGAATGCAGGTAGATCAGTCAGTGTTCCAGGAGAGAGAAGACAAGAGTTTGTCCTAAGGTGGTGGCAGTAGAGATAGATGGGAGAGTATCATAATTTGATGGAAATTTGGCAAGTAAAATAGATAGGACTTGGTATTGAATAGGGGTAAAAGGCAGAAGATGTCAAGAATTATTCTTGGGCTTTGGTTTGGTTTGGTTTTGGCTTTGACTTGTTTAGTACCTGATGAATAGTGATGTTTTTCCTGAGATAGAGAACACTGTAAGAAAACCAGGTTTACAAGAGGATCATGGTGTTTGGTTTTGGATATGTAGATTTTGATATAGTCAAGTAGCTTTTGGATCTATAAGTCTAGATTCTAAAGGAGATTATACAACTATTACCATTGAGGAGCCTTCAGAAATATCCTTGGAATAAAGTGCGAAACAGTGGTTTAGACCTACTTTGGGAGCTCATCTCCCACCAGAGCCCTATTTTTATAGCTTCATGAACCATTCATTTACCTATTTTTTAAGATTTTATTATTTGAGAGAAAGAGTGAGAGAGAGCACACAAGCAGGGGAGTGCCAGGGAGAGGGAGAAGCAGGCTCCCCACTGAGCAGAAAGCCTGACTGGGGGCTCCATCCCAGGACCCTGGGATCATGACCTGAGCCAAAGGCAGATGCTTAACCGACTGAGCCACCCAGGCTACTCCATTCAGTTATCTTTAAAAAGCTATTACATTTCCTTCTTACGGGCTTTTGTTCGTACTGGGTTGTCATCCTGAAAATGCCTTTCCTTACCACTTCTCTTTTTATAAAAAACTTTCTTCAAGGCTCATTTCTTTTCTTTTTTTTTTTTAACTCCTCCAAGAAGCCTCCTCTGTTCCCTTTCCCTTCCTCTGAATATGTGGCTCCTTTCTGTGTTCAAGTACTTCCTTTATATATTACCTTCATATATACTGTATTGTTTACTTAATAGGACCTGTATTTCAGTTGAATAATTTCACGTCTCACCAACTAGATCATGTGTTTCTTGAGAGCAGGGATTCACCTTTTTTCAGTGCTTTATATAAGGAAAACAAAGGATAATTATGAAATGAATTAAATAGTAGAAACCTCAGTCTTTTGTACAATCTGCTTCTTTAATATCATAGCACCATATCCTTCCTCCGTCTGTATACTCCTAATTTTCTCTAGGCTGTCCCTACATTTTTACCCTGCAGATACCTAGATACATCAGAGAAATGTTCTTCCTTTCATATGCAAAATACCTGAACTAGTCATTTTCATTAGATACTTTGGCTTTATTTGTAATTTATCAGAAAAGCTGAAATCTTGCTATTCCTCATCACCTGTGAAAAAAACGGTCGAGACAGGAAGGACTGGCATCCATACAGGATGTCAGGGACAACTAAGAGATGCTACTTAAGTTGGAGCAAAGCGGTCATGATGGAGTAAGCCATGTGGGTATCTGAGGAAAAGGATTACAAGCAGGAGGAACACTAAGTGGAAAAGGCTTGAAACGGGTACATGCTTGGTACATTCCAGGAACAGCAAGGAGGCCTTTGTAGCTGATGGCAGTGGAGTAAAGGAATGAACAGTAGGAGATACAGTCAAGGAGTAATGGATGCCAGGAGGTAATGGATCTGACAGGTGCTAGATCATGGTTATCAGGCCATTGTAAAGACCGGCTTTTACTCTGACTCAGGTAGAGAGCCCCTGGCAAGTTTTAGGTGTAAAAGACTGTTGTGACCTGAATCACTTTTAAAGGATCACTCTAGCTGTTGTACAAATAATTGATGATAAAAATATTATTCCAGTGATAGTTATGAGCCTATTGGAATAGTCCAGGCAAGAGTTGATAGTGGCTTATACTAGAGTGGCAGTAGTGGAGATTCAGTGAGATGTGGTCAGATTCTGCATCTCTTTAGCAACTAGAGCCCAAGACATTTGCTGGAGCAATGTAGTATACACAGAGGGTAACAACATAGACTCTATAACCAAACTGGGTTCAAACATTGGCTTTGCCACTTCTTCATGGTCTTAAGCAACTTAAATTCTTTATGCTTTGGTTTTCTTAGCTATAAAATATAGTCGTAGTACCCATCTTGTGTGTCATTATAAGAATTACACAATTTAGGGGCGCCTGGGTGGCTCAGTTGGTTAAGCAACT